GCCAGTGATCAGCAACCGGACTGAGGCCCCCCATAATAGAAGGGGCGTATGTTTGTTTAAAAAAAAAAAAAAAAAAAAAAAAATGGACACCCATTCAGGCAGTCAGAAAGAGTCTTCACATAAAAACAAAGCCGGTGGGCACTTTTTGCCAGTTTTTGGGGTTATTTACATGTCTTCCCCAGAGGTCGCAAAACCTTTTTTTTTCCTACCCGTATCTGACCCAGCCCAAGCCTTGATGTATCTACCTAGCTGGACCCATGTAAACACAATTTTTTTTATCCAGACCCAGCCCACCCACGCTGATTTAAATTTTTTTCTACCCGTACCCAGCCCACACAGGGTGATTTAAAAATTGTCTACGCATACCCGCACCCGTCCAGAACTGTCGGGTAGGGCTGGGTACGGTCGGGTCAGGTCATGGCCACCCAATGTCAACCTCTGGTATTCCCTTCCTTGGGTGTGGTGGCTACTGCTCAGGCTCCTTCCACAGAATCAAGACCTCCAGAATTTCAAGGGCCATCAGGGCATGCTGCAGAGCTCAGGACACGGTGCTTTGCTGGGTGCCCTGGGCTTTGACTATCAGAGATGCATTCCAATGACAACACTGTGGTCATTACCCCGGCTTAGGGATGTAAAATCCGCTAGGCTGGAAAACGGGTCCAGCTTACCAGATGGTAGATTAGACGATCCAAGATCTTAGTGAAGAAGAACAAAACTCGGAATCCTTTTATGATGGTGAAAATGGCCCTCTTTTTTCAAACCCGAAGTAGGCTACAAAATTGGCTGTCCGGGCAGCTAGGCTAGCACAGGCCGATCCTCACCCGCCTGGGACCGGGCAGTCAGAATGCAGCAGCAGTGTAGCGTGTTCAGCAGCAAGACAACACAGACAACCCGAACCGAGCGGCCCCCTAAGAGTGCAGTAGGCACTCCAAAGGAGGAACCACCGACTGTTTGGCACTACTTAAGGGTGCTCAGTTGGGCACACTGAAAAATGCTTGGAAAGCATCAGAGGGAGGACAGAAAACTGGAGAAAGACTGATAGACATAAAACTGATTGTGTGTGTGTGTGTGTGTGTGTGTGTGTGTGTGTGTGTGTGTGTGTGTGTGTGTGTGTGTGTG